GGGGCCATAGCCAGTCCAGGATGAACCCCCATTTCAAGGTCTTAAATGAGTCACATCTGCAAAGTCCCTTTGCCATGGAAGGTAGCAGGGCCACAAGTTCAAGGGAATAGGAAGGACATGGACAGCTCGGGGGCACCACTGCTCTGCCTAACACACCCTACACCCTCCGACACACCGTCTCTCACATCCAGCAACGCTCACAGTATTCCCTCCGTTTCATTCCTGGTACTGAGAGGAAGCACTTTTCTCCTCTCTTAGACTTTAGCAAAGTGCTTCATCCCTTCGGTTCCCAAGTCCAAGGGCTAGAAACACTCTTTACACCCATCGTGGCACTGAGGGTGTTCTTTTTTTAATTTTTTTTAAAATATATTTATTGATTTTTTTTTACAGAGAGGAAGGGAGAGGGATAGAGAACCAGAAACATCGATGAGAAACATCGAACAGCTGCCTCCTGCACACCCCGCACTGGGGATGTGCCCACAACCAATGTACATGCCCTTGATTGGAATCGAACCTGGGACCCTTCAGTCCACAGACCGACGTTCTATCCACTGAGCCAAATCGGTTTCGGCTAAGGGTGTTCTTAATGTCTAGGTAACAAACCATAAGTTCATCCCCCACCCCCAAATGGTTCCCTATATGAAATATGCATTGTTAGACAGTAGGAAATACCATAATGGAGAGATTTCATTAAGTAATGAGAAGTGATTAAACTGTCTTTCTTGTTTTTTCCTGCTATTGCCCCCAGTCAGCAACCATAGAAATCTATCATGTACATTTATTTTATTAGAGTCTTTAGCCAAAAGAAAGACAAAAGCACTGCTGGCCTAGAAACAAGAAGAACAGGTCTTGACTCAGTGATTGCTCTGTGCCCCATGCTGGCCAAGTGAGCTCGTGGCGAGCATGATTCTAGACCGTTTGACTCAGACCAGTGAATGATGCTAGAAACATCAGACCACTCCACTAGGCTGATTCGGTGCCAAGAACGGGCACAATTGTACTCAAGTAAACAGACTCTTGTGACTGAGTTGAGATTTGAGTTCAGATTTTTTCTTTTACTATATATATTATATCTTATTGATTTTTTTACAGAGAGGAGGAGAGAGGGATAGAGAGCTAGAAACGTCGATGAGAGAGAAACATCGACCAGCTGCCTCTTGCACACCCCCTACCAGGGATGTGCCCACAACCAATGTACATGCCCTTGACCGGAATTGAACCTGGGACCTTCCAGTCCGCAGACCAACGCTCTACCATTGAGCCAAACAGGTTTCGGCTGAGTTCAGACTTAAGACTCACCCTACGCATGATGTCCACTTTCTAAGATAGCAATCCTGTTGATACAGGTGAATAAAGATTTAAAAAAAAAAAAAAAAGTGTTGACTGCAGTATTCCACCCGGTAAACAGTCTGAATTCCGCAGGAGAAGAGTTTGCCAACCTCTGCCCAGCAATGCACACCGTTGGAATGCACGCCTGCCAGAGATTGGAAAGCTTCCTGAGTGATGTCTGGGCACTCGGATTTTCTCTTGCTGGGACTTTAGACATTTTATTTTCCGTCATGTAGTTCTGGGTGCGATGGTTGCAATGAGACCTAAGCTCTCTGGTTGTTTCAGTCTTTTTTTTTTTTTCTACAACACTATTTACGTTTGACGTAAACAAAACCTTTGCCATTATTGTTTAGCAGTAATCAGTGTTAACTAATACTTAGCAAAGTCTTTCCCTGGAAACCAAAATTCCGAGAAATCTGCAAAAGGAAGGATTGCAGGGGAGCCCCAGGCTCTCTCGGCTGAGTTTGGGTGTTCATACCTCTCTCCTGTTTTCCTAGAGAAGGTTGGAGCCCATGTGGGTGATACTCCCTGATGGGCCTGGTCTGTGGGAGGCAGTGGTAAGACCACATGATATGAAGTCTTAGTGGGCAGAGCATTGTAGGGCCCTACAACGTCCCCATATACTACACTGTAAGTCCTGGAGCAGACCAGGCACCACTGCAATGAAGCTGGGCCCTGAATACCACCAGGGGGCTTTACAAGAGCACAGATCCTTTCATTTCCCTGGGGGGTGTCGCTCTCCCCAGTCTGGGGATGAAATCTGGCTTGTGGGCTGTGTCAGTCGTGGTCCCATCAGGAAACAAATGGCACACTCAAAATAGGAGCAACTGTTTAAAAAAGACTAATTAGGAAAGACTGATTATGGGAACCAAACATGATAGTGCAGGAACCCCGAGTCCCAACCCCATTGCTCCCACCCCTGGAAAGTGGTATAAAACAGTGACCAAGCCCCGGGAGGAGAGAGCCACATGGAAAGTGTCGACTTCAGAGGAGCTGTGTCGGTCTCTTGAGGACAGAGCAGTCTCAGGTGACCTTTCCGGGAAGGAGCCAGGAAAAGGGACACCTGACCTTCTGATCTCCTGCCAGGACTCCTCACTGGCCAAATCATATGGGGAATTGGGTGGACAGGAGGTACACTGATGGAATCCGTGCAGGTCAGCCTCATGGGCAGAGGGTGATAGCAGGCCTGGAGGGGCCAATAGAACTAGCGAGAGGCAGAGCCAGAATCGGAACCTGGTGCTTGATGACCGATACCACTGGTTCTTTGGGGGACAGATTCATTCCACAAACATATAATGTCCCCTCTGGAGAGCAGTGTGTGAGGTGCTGAGGATGCCTAGGCATCTCCCTCTGAATGCCGTGTCAAGCTCTGGCTGGGGCTTTCACGCGGGGCATGCACAACAGTCCTGTGAGGTGGGTGGCCTTTATCTGCATCTGATCGACAGCTTGTCCGAGGAAAGATGGGCTCACCCAGAGTCACAGCTGGAAAGCAACAGGACAGAGATTCAATCCCATGTCTGGCCCCATGCCCGCATTCTTCACATGATGCTTCTCAGAGCAGCCCATCCCCACAAGGAAGTCTAACTGGAGAGAGAAAAAAACCAAACAGTTTTTAGGGTTGAAGAATCTCCTTGCAGAACTTTTATGGGCAAGAAGAGCTCGGAATCGGAGTCCTGTGAGACCAGACAGTTTATTTCCCTCCTTGGGACAAAGACTGAAATAGCATCACTGTTCTTACATGGGCAAAAGTGAGACCGTCTGGTGTGCAGCTGTGCTGCGCTGGAGAAGTGCCAATGATCACAGACAGCATGACCAGAATCGGGAAGGAAGGCCCTGCCGGGTGAGCGGGTGAAGGCCGGGAACACCACGCGGGTCTGGGCCAAGAGCAGAGTCCCTCAGGCAGAGTTCACAGTTTTGTTTCTTGTGGGATGGGCCCTGGGTTTGCACATAACAAAAACACAAGGTGGCAGATGGGAGAGGAAGGGCCCCAATGGGGAACCGTGTGAGAGCCTGAGGTGAGGTGGGGAGGCTTGGTGGAGACGTCTGTGTGCTGAGCAGCTTCTATATTCAGTTCCTGCTCCGAACTGGCACGAAGGATCTGTCTGGGTCTCAGGGGCAGAGAAGTGGCAAAACGTATTTATGTAGATCAATCGGACAACTCAACATCACAGCTCACCTGTGGTTCTCAAAGTGGGGTTCCTGGACCTGAGTAGCGACATCACCTTAGAAATGCAAACTCAATGGGCCATCCCAGACCTTCAGAGATGGCAACTCTGGGCATGGGGTCCAGCAACCAGTTCTCATAAGCCCTCAGGGTCATGCTGAGGCACACTTCCGTTTGCGAACCACTCCTGGGGGGTCACTGATTCCTAATAGAGGAGGGGGGACTGTTTAGGGGACCCTAATAAACAAAGAACTCTAAGATATGGTCAATGGGGGCTGAGAGGGGGAGGGAGATGATCCCCCATGGAAAGGGGCCTCGCATGTCACAGACACAGACCTCTTTCTGTACTAACACTGGGCAATGCGTTAGTATAGAAAGAAGCAAGAGGAAATGTTAAGACTTGAGACAAGACTATGGGTTAAATCTTGTCAAAATTCAGGGGAGACAGAGCTGGGCAACAGGGATGAAGGACACTAAGTTTAGAAGATGGTCAATGGCACGTGGTTTGTGCCAACTCACTTGGATTCTGACCCTTTGTCTTTTTGCACTTCTACCAATGGGCCCTGCTCCGGTTGGTATCGGGAAAGTGGAGATGGACCGCACATGATTCTTCCGCTAAAGGGGAGGCAGAAATATAAGCTGTTGTTGCATTGTGGCAGCATAGGAGGTCAGAGAAGGCTTCATGAAGGGAAGGAGGGCATATAAGGAGCATCCTGGCAAAGAATTTGCTGTTTTGTGCACGAAGGACTTAGGGTGGGTACACACTGATTCAGTGAGCAAATGATTGGGTATTGTGGGAGCCCTCTCTGCCTGGGGGAGGGGCTGGAAGGAGGGTGGGCCCAGGTAACAAGAATGCTGGTTGAACCCTCACTGCTGACCTTGTGAGATAGTAAAGAACATGCTTCCACGCCCAGCACCTGCCTTGTGATCCCCATGCATGCTGATGAGGCCCCAGCACTTATCATATTTCTTAGGTTTCTTCTCCAGAGAGGGCCCAGCTCACCCCACTGGGCGAAAGACAGATCCATGGTACCAGCCACCATGAGGCTTCAACCTCGGCATGAAGTGAAAGCTCAGGCAACAGCGGTGGGCAAGTGGTCTGCGAGAAGAGGGTCCCTCTTTGGCCAAAAGGGCAAGAGGGGCCAATATAGAATGCTCAGGTGCCTTCCTTGGGGGCCCTCTACACTAAAAGTCTGGATTTTATCCTGTGGGCAATGGGCAAATTTGAAGTGTTTTAAGGAGGAAATGGGATTGGCACCATTCTTTGTGCCTCTGGTTCTCTACTCTGACCCACAGGGGAGTTGTCTGGAGTTAATTAAGAACAGATGCAGCTGCCAGGCCCAACTCTGGACAAGAGGTGTGGCTAGGACTGGGATCCTGGAAGTGGCTGCAGGGGTTTGGCCAACACATCTGACTGCCAGGAAAAGTCACAAGGTCTGAGTATAGACTCAGCAGAAAGCATTTTAATTATTTGACTTTAATAGTGGCATTTTTGTTTTTCTTTCAGGGTCGTCCAAATCATATGTAAGTATCCCTTTTTCTTTTCTGTGTAGCTTCACCTTATAAACTCTAGTCTGTTTTGCTCCAAAATGTTTACATTTGTGCTTCATTCACTTAACAAATGTGAGTCATGCATCTATCATTCATGAGAGGGCAGTCCCGAGTTTCTACGAGACGTTCCTTCTTTTTAGAAAATGCTTTGTGCAGCCCTTCTCAGACTAACAGAACTAGACGCTTCATTTCATCGTTGTCTCTGTGTGGAGTGTAGGGGAATAAAAAAAAAAAAATTAATTGTAAGATTCTACCTCTGGATAGTCACGGACAACTGACTCAATAGGCACAGGTTGCTTTTCATGCCATTGGCACTCATTTGTGAAAATGGGCCGACAAGGAGCATATTTTAACCCTGGACTGTTGTTGTTTTGTCAGAGTTGCTTTGGTTACCCCCTGAGCATATTCTTCATCGTGATCAATGAGTTCTGCGAAAGATTTTCCTACTATGGCATGAAAGGTAACTATCCTCGACACCCACCCCCTTGCGTGCTGAGCGTCAGTTGCTGTGGCCACTCCTAACTGTGCTTTCCCTCCCCTGCCCTGTCTGCCACGGAAAGCACTCCTGATCCTGTACTTCACGCGGTTCTTCAGATGGGACGACGACCTGTCCACCGCCATCTACCACACCTTCGTGGCTCTCTGCTACCTGACGCCCATTCTTGGCGCTCTCATCGCCGACTCCTGGCTGGGAAAATTCTCGTGAGTAGTTGCAACTTCCTTGTTCGCAGGCAAGCCAAAAAGTAATTATTAGCTTCGAGGTTTGAAATGATGGGTTCTGGGGGCAAAGAATCGGGAACCTAAAACTCTTAGGAGAGCATGCTAGACCCTGTTTCTGCTCATCAGCGTCCCCGCCCCCCCAAGCGTGGCACAGTGCCTGGCATTTAGCAGTGAGTGCAAGTGGCATTTGTAGGTTCCCCTGTCCTCCTTCAAGCAGAAATAACATCTTTGTCTCATCTTGAAATAGGAGCAGGGATACCATCGGTCATTAACAATGTGGGAAGCATTGAATTAAGGGCAGGGAGAACAAAGAAGCTCCCCAATTAATGTTCCAGCAGGCTCACACTGCTCCGTGGACAGAGAGGGAATGGGACACCCACACAGCCCGTGGTCAAGTGCACTCGAGAGGGGGTTATCAGGAAGTCCCTAGGACTTAATCAGCAAAGAAGTCAAGGCTCTGCAAGGCCAAGGCATGATGTGGACGGAAGCATGGAAATACACTCTCTCAAAATAACTCAATACACAAACAAGCAGCGGTCTGCTCCTGGCCAAATGTTGTTTGTTACATGCGTCTCTTGTTGTCTAAAGAGACAAGTACCGATGTCAGTAGTTAGGTAAATAAAATACTGAGTCTTTCAAAGAGCTCGAAGATAAAATGCATCTCCCTCCTTGCTGCGGCTCCTCTGGGCAAGTTTTCGCTCTGCACTTGCAAGCTGGGCAACAAATTCTACAGCAGACTGCCTTTCTAAGAGTTACCAGTTTTTCTCCATTTGAGAAACAAGTACATCCATGACCGGGCTCTCGAAAGCTTGAAGCCAGGCGCCTTTTTGTGGTGGGGTAGGAAGCGGATTGTGCAATTAACTTGGGTCTTCTTAACCCCTCTACACACAGGACCATCGTGTCACTCTCCATCGTCTACACCATTGGGCAGGTAATCATCGCAGTCAGCTCCATCCACGACCTCTCAGACTATGACCGCAACGGAACCCCCGACAATCTCCCTTTACATGTGTGAGTTATGTTACCTGCTGCCCGACCCCCTCCCACTGGTTGCTTCTTTGGTGCTCCAGCTTCTCACCTTGAACTTCACTGTAGTGTAAGGAGGACTTTACAGCGATGTAGAGAAAGCTGTTTAATTGACTTAAGTGTTGGGTCTTCAGTACGTCGCCATCCTAACAGTTGTCTGGAGTCATTGCTCACTAAGGCCTGCTGTCTGGGGTACATGTCATGTGGCGTGTGGTCAGTGCACGGGATACTTACTAGTGTGTTAATCATCATGTTCCCGGGAGGGACAGACGTTACTGCCACTGATCTTGATCTGCAATTGGACCAGGTTTCCTCAAGACTCTGTACCTTTGGTCTTCTGTCTTGTACTTACTACACTTTTGCTAAGTTCCCATTAACTCGGTTTCATAAATATTTGTTCGAGCTGTATGTTCTGAGTTCTTGATGGATGCCGGCATTGACACCGACATTGACAAGTGCTCCTCCGTGAGATTGATTTCCCTTCACTGCAGTCTGGTCTAATAGACAAGTTACCAAGATTTGTTTCCTAATTGTGTGTTTCGGTTCCTTGATCTCTAAATAAACCATCTTATCAGTTGGGAAAATATAACTGAACTGTCCCTCTCTCCCTCTCCTTTACTCTCTAAATCAATAAAAAAAAAAAAATTTTTTTAAAGAAAGAAATTTAAATTCCTATCAGCAGCCCCCGAGTTTCTGGTTTGTTCATCAGTCAAATTGCTTGTCCAGACAAGTCCTTTGTTGTAACACCCGTGGTGCCCACAGGAAACTGTGCTGGTCAAGGGCGGTGACTATGAGCTCAGTCTGGCAGCTCAGATTTCTAGTGTCTGACCCCCCGGCCCTTCCAAAGAGCAGCTGTGAGACTTGGGGCAACTTATCTTCTCCACACCCCAATTTCCTAATCTACAATATTGATTAAAAGAACATGGACTTTGTGGGTTCAAATTCTGTCTGTGCTCCTCACTGGTTGTGTCTTAACCTCTGTGCCTAGGTTTCCTCATATGTAATAGCACCTGCCTCAGATAGGACTGTGTGTGCTAATCCAGGTGGAGCACCTGGAGCACTGCCTGGCAAATGACAAGTGCTCAGGAAAGCTTAGCTACTTTTCTTGCTCATGGAGTTCCTATTAGAGCATACCTACAATCCTCACCATAGTGCTGAGTGTGTTATAGGCAACTGCCATGTTTTGTTGTCTTTTAAAATCCTCAGATTGACAGCACTTGAATCCTTAAGAAGCAAACAATGAAAAGGTGCTTCAACCAGTTAATTCAGGAAAATGAATGTGATTTTTTAAAGAATTTTTTCTATGCATAGTAGTTCTAAATTTTGTTTCAGAAAATATTTTTTAGCACCTTAAAGCAGATAGCAATCAAGAGATATGAAAAAACACACACATAAAACTTAAAATTTGTAATACCTGCTATCACTTAACAAAACTACAAATGAGGTTTGGCAAATTCTATGAGTGATTTTTTTTAATTCAGAAAGTAAAACAGATAACTTGGATTATGCAAAAGTAAGTAAAAATAAATGACCTTTAATCCCTTCTAATTATTATAAATAATCTTTTTAATAGTATGCAATATTATAATAAACATTTTGCTTCACTTTCCAGTCTTCTGTAAACAAGTTAAGATCATACTAACTAACCTGATATTTGGCTTTGCCATTAAATCAAGTTTTCTAATGCCTTTTAATGACTGTTATGAGTCTATTCAGATTATACAGAGACAATGCTTAAACATTTCACTTACCTATTTTTTTATTGAAAATGATAAGGCTGCAGAAGAACCCCATACAAAAAATCCTTGTTCAATATTCAAGCTATTGCTTTAAAATTTCTAGCTAGTAAGTTATTAGATAACGGAATACACATGAAGGCCCATGAAATCAAGTCCCCTTCACCCGTCCAGACTGCATTCCTGCGCATTATCTTCTCATAGAGGTTGCTGTCCCTTCTTGGTGCTTACCGCCGCACCTGTTCTGCTGAAGGAAACTAAGAAACAGGAGGTTCCTGCCTTTAAAATCTCACATTTCAGCGATACCCCTTTTCTTCCCGTAGGGCGCTCTCCATGATCGGCCTGGGCCTGATAGCTTTCGGTACTGGAGGAATCAAGCCCTGTGTGTCTGCCTTTGGTGGAGATCAATTTGAAGAGGGCCAGGTAAGAGCACGTGCCTTCACAGAAACCACATAAATGGACTCTACACTTCCAGGAATCAAATTCCACCGTCACAAGGTCTGTGCACCACTGGATTCTTTTCAAGTAGACTTGAAAGTGAATACTGACCAAAAACTAAGTTCGAAGCAAGGTCAGATTATCAGCTATATAATCAGGTTGGATCGGTTGTTCTATAGCCAACTTCATTATACTTTAATTTTATCCTTCTTATTATAGGAAAAACAAAGAAACCGATTCTTTTCCATCTTTTATTTGGCCATTAATGCTGGAAGTTTGATTTCTACTATCGTCACTCCCATTCTCAGAGGTAAAAAAACAAAAACAAAAAAAAAACATCAGAGAGTGTGGGGGGCTTCTGTTTTCCTTTTTTTTTAATTGTGGGGAGAAAATCACTTGGAAAGTTTGTACTGACTTTGCTTGTTTAGTCCTCTGCTCCTCCATTCCACTTCAGCCACGTAACAGAGTACACATTGGAATTCAGAGTATGGACTTCTTTTCCTTCCAGTTGTATCTCTTCTTCAATCTCATTAGAATCCCTTAACCTAATGACCACTGGAGGATCTATAGTATCCTTAGCACAGCGGTCACTTTTTCTAAATGACCACTAATGCAAAGTCCTAATTCATGTAAGAGATAAGACAGTAGAAGCTCTGAAAAACACATTTTTTGCCTTCCAGCTTTGCTCCCAAGTGAGTGAGTTAGGGAGAATTTTGTGGGCAGGGTTTTATTCTTTGCTTTCCTATCATGTCAGATATTTCAAAAGGAACTGTCCAAGAGAGAGGATGAGATGGCAACTGGCAACAGCACTCAGATCTTTGTGCTTGCTAAGGATCCATTGAGAGTTTGTGGATTTCCCACATTGAAGGGGATATTTGGGGTCAAATTAGACCATGGGATCAGATTAAATTATGAAATAAAATATTTTATAGGGTTTCTGTATTTCTGCATAGACTAGTAGTTTAGAGATGATACTTAAAAACAATTCCAACTTGTTTTGTATAAAAATTTAGTAGTTTTTATTTTTATGTTATGTTTCCTCACCTCCCCCCCACCTTTCCATCTACTAGAATATCTACTATGCATGTGGTGCATCAGAAAATGTGTTACAAGATAATTTCTTTAAAGGTGAAATCATGATTCTCACACAAATATGAAATGACCATGTGACAATGATTTTATATAATTTAATAATTAATAAGGCTACTAGTCAGTGCCAATAGGAATTTGACTAACAGATTATTTATATTCTTTTTCAGGGAAGGAATTTATTTTGCTTTGCCATGAACAAAAGTCATTACATGTTTTCTACTAGTTAACTTCTTTCTCTATAGAACTGTGAAATAGAGAGTCAAAGACAAAGTTAAAACCTCTTTAGGAACAGATTCCTGGAGGCCCCAGCATTCCATTAAAAGGATTTCCAGAATTTTCTGTTGCCTCTTCCAATGTCTTAATTTTTTGTATACTAAATCCTCGGATTTGAGAGCTAGCAAAGTCTGGCCTCTAGGTCCAATCCAGAAATGTAGAAACGACTGTCTATTTGTGTACTGTCTATGGCTGCTTTCAGACTACAGAAGCAGGCTTGAGTCATTGGGACAAAGACCGAATGGTACACAAAGCCTGAAATATTTGCTCTCTGGCTCTTCACAGAAAAGTCTGTTAACCTCTGCCCTGTGTCATCTAAGTATTTTCAAATTAGCATGAATTCAGGGACATACAAGATTAATTTTCCAACTTACTTTTGATTTTATTTACTGAGTATTCATTTTTATCTGCCCCACTAAGAAAACCCACTGAATGTAAGCACTGATTTTGACTTGACCAGGATCAGACGTCTACATAGGGGCAGAGGTTAGACCTGTCTCCATCTCCTGCTCTTACTACTACAAAGCTGCTTTGCTCCTCTGGCACTGACTTCAGTGAGGCAAAAGGATATGTCTAAAATATAAAGTGAAGAACAATACAATACGTAATAACCAGTTAGGGATTTTTAGAAAATGGGAACTATATGGGAGTTACCAATGCCATAATGAATTTTAATTTGGTAATTTCTCCCCAGTTCAAGAATGTGGAATTCACAGTAAGCAAGCTTGTTACCCACTGGCGTTTGGGGTTCCTGCTGCTCTCATGGCCATTGCTCTGCGTAAGTAGAATCAGTTGAATTAATTCAATCCTATATCAGATGAAGCCTTTACTTAATCACTATGACCACTTTTTTAAAAGTCATGTAACAAATTGTAATGATAAATAGTATGAAGATTTGCCAACCCATGCTAAACATGCTCTGAGAAGTCAAAGAATGTAGAGTTGGCATTTTTCAGAAGGAATAAGATCAAAAAAGTGTTTACAGGAAAAGTGATCAACTGAGTTGGACAGCTAAACATTTGATACTATTTAGGCAGAGTGAGGTAAAGATGGTGAATCTGCTGGACTAGCTGAACCCATAGCTAAAGGCTTTCCTTCTTATCAACATGTGCTCATCTACAACTGGAAGACATGACAACCTGGTCCAGTTGTTTAAATACTTACAGTTCCATCTAGATTTCCACAGTATAACATCTCAAAATGTTTCTACTAGAATATCTCCCCTATAGGATAAATATATGTGTACTAGACGCATTCATTCACACTTGAGTTCTTGGCACTGACTTTTTAGGAAGTATGAAGAGATTTCTACATGAGATGGTTTGGCTTGAGAGATGGTGGGGGTCTTCATTTCCTAGGACTGCCATAACAAAATATCAGACTGAGTGGCTTTATCAATAGAAATTCATTCATTGTCTCACAGTTCTTGAGGCTGGGAGTCCAAAATCAAGTGTCAGAAGGGTCATGCTCCCTCATAAGGCCCTGGGGAAGGTCTCTTCTGGCCTCTCTCCCTTTCGTGGTACCCTGGCTCGTGGCAACAGAATGTTAGTCTGCCCATGGCCTTCCTTCTGTGTGTACATCTGTGTCCAAATGTCTCCTTTCTATAGGGATACCTGTCATATTGGAGTAGGGCCACCATAATGACCTCACCTTGATTGTCTGCAATGATATTATTTCCAAATAAGTCATATTCTGAGGTCCTGGGGATGAGGACTTCAACATCTTTGGGTACAAGAGGGGAACAGAGTCCAATTGCCATTTCAAGCTCAGAATTCTCCCTTTTATATATGTCCATTTTCTTCTATAATTGTTTAACTACTGCCACACTCCCCTAAAAGGCTCATGTATACCTTTTTCTCTCTAATTCTGAGTGAGGAAATGGACATAGAGAGAACTTTAAAACTGTTGTTTTAGGCTGGACACTATATCAAGTTGTCATTAGGTAACTTGTCATTTAGCCTGTATGAGTCATTCTTACATCAAAGATTATGCTTTTTCTTATGGAGGAATTGAGAACAAGCCAAATCCTATGTACCAACACGCTCTCTAGAAGTTTCTGTCTGTAGCAATCTTATGTTTGAATTAGGCTTCAGTCAATCAGAAGCTTAAATATTAAAATATTAGCTAATTTAAAAATGTACTGGCCTGGCCAGTGTGGCTCAGTGATTGAGCATCGACCTCTGAACCAGGAGGTCATTTGGGCTTCCCATCAGAGTACAAGCCCGGGTTGCAGGCTCAATCCCCAATAAGGGAACTGGTGTTTCTATCTCTCTCCCTCTTTTTTCCTCTTTGAAATCAATGATAAATATATATTTTTTAAAGTGTAGACCTAAAAAAAACATGTAGAGTAGGCTATTGGCCATCTCTTCCATCCATGTTTGATTAAGGACAATTGACATTGGGTTAGACTACAAGTAAACTCATCTTTCTTTAATTATAAAGAACATCTATAAAAAGGCAAATAGTTGGAAATAATGCTTGAGAGTTGGCACCTATCAAAATCTTAGGCCCTCTCTTAATGGAGGGGAAAAGTCCAATTCAGATGATCAATTAGTGTTTTAAAATTTTTTTAATTCTGGTATTGGATAATCAGAAATCCTAGAATAGAGATTGTGTTTTCAGAGTTTCTTCAAGAAATGCTATTTTTCCCTGCGTTATTTTTATAATATATCTGTCCTAAGAGTTGCTTCATTGTAAAAGTGCTTTTACTTGTGTAAAACTGAAGCTACAGATGCAAATAATTTTAACTGTAATTCTGTACCATGACCACAGAATAAATTCTGTTAATGTAAGTAAAAGTTCCAACAGATAGTTGTTATTTCTTTCTGATGATTAAAAGAAGAATTTTCCTGGCCAGTGTAGCTCAGTGGTTGAGAGTGGCCCTTTGAACCAGGAGGTCCTGCTTTGATTCCCAGTCAGGCCATATGCCCTGGTTGTGGGCTCAATCCTCAGTAGGGGCCATGCAGGTGGCAACCAATCAATGCTTCTCTCTCATCATTAACGTTTCTATCTCTCTCTCTCTTCTTCTTCTCAGAAATCAATAAAACAATATTTTTTTCAAAAGAACTCGAACTTGTCATTGCAACTGAAAAAAGCTGATTTTTGTCTTTATAGAGTAATACATTAACCTAATATGCAAAAGCACTTATTTCTTTGTATCCTTTTACATAGTGAAACAACTTGTGCCTACATAACTGAACTAAGAAATGTCTCATTTTATAAGTCTTTGAGCGGCCCCAAGTTTGGGGACGTAGATAATAATAGACTTTACTGTTTGTATGTGAGACACACACATATAACCGTACTCAGAAGCTCCTGTGCTTGTTAGAATCAAAAGCACTTTCTTCACTGGGAGGGAGGGAGGAACCCCCATTCTATGAGTAACCCTGGTGTGTCCAAAACAAGGTTATAACTCATATAAAAGCACCTTTTCCGGGTCCTAGGTAGTTCTGACAGCACCGTGTTACACATCTTATTTTCCCTGCAGTTGTATTCATTGCCGGCAGCAGCATGTACAAGAAGTTCCAGCCCCAGGGGAACATCATGGGTGATGTGGCCAAGTGCATTGGGGTAAGTATCTCAGTCGCACGCTCTCAGTGGCATTTAGTCACCCCAGAACCTTTCACTTCCTTCGAATTAGAAGTCAATGAAGTGTTGATTGTTCTTTAAGCGTTGTATTAGTGTTCTTTACTGCAGGGGTGGGCAAAAGTGGCCTAAATTACCAGCCACCATTACCTAAAAGGTAAATCACAAGTAAGGATACGAAATAAAAACAATAATAATAATACAAATAATACAAATAAATAATACAATAATTAATAAATAATAATACAAGGATAAACTGTTTTGTGTGCTCAGAACTGTAGACCTATTTTTGCCCGCCCCTGTGTTTTGCTAAATTGAGTTTTCTTATAAAATTCGCCACATGGAAAAGGACACAAAACAGAACTCAACTAAAGAGGGATAGAAATGACTCTTGACCTTATAAAGTGAGATCAGTGGGCATGGAAAATCAAACCCAAACCACCCCTCCCCTCTCAACATGGCAAGCAGTGTCTGGTGCATGTTGGGCAGCAGTGGTTTGGTGCCGTGTGTCAGGAGCCTAACGCATGGAGTGTCCTTACTCCTCCTTTCACGAATCAAGGCTAAAACATAACTTTGAAGAACCTGCACAAATTCACATTAGAAGATTATCAATGTAATGTTTACAACAGCAAAACAGCAGCACAAAACAAAGCAAATATTTGCAGCAGCAAACGTGTAAGTCCACCAAACATGGGAGAAAACGGCTAACTCACGTCTGTGTGACGTCACACAGCCCTCAGAGGTCTCGTGTTCAGAGACAGTTTGGCAATGAGAACATGCACAACGGGCACATTTAAAGTCAGAAATAAGTAATGGAGTCAAATAACTTTATTCCCCTGTTTATGCCCCATATTTTTAGTGATTATGTATATTGTATAATCAGGGGAAATGTGTCACTTTATTAAAAAACAAACAAACAAACAAACAAACAAAAAAACTAGAGGCCCAGAGAGCGATTGAAATCGCGTGAGGAGGCGCCCAGCCTCCCACCTTGCAAGGAGGCTTCCCTTGGGGAGGATGGATAGGGAGGAGGGGTGGTGAGAAGGGAGCCTGGACCCACGCCTGACCAGTGCAGCACCTGCTGCAGCATTGTGTCCGCTGGGGTGGGGACAGGCACTCCTGTGTGCTGTGGCTCCACGCTGGCCCACCCCACCCCCAGCCTCCCTGCAGCTGCTGGGGCTGAGGGCTGCACGCACTCCCCTTCCACCCATCTGCACGCACAGCTCCTCCTGAGCGGTCTTGTAGCATCCTCCTCAACAGGTCCTGATGCCCGGCTAATTAGCATATTCCCTGTTTTGATAGATAGATAGATAGATAGATAGATAGATAGATAGATAGATAGATAGATAGATAGCGATAGAGATATAGAGATATACCCTGTTTCCCTGAAAATAAGACAGTGTTTTATATTTTTTCTCCCAAAGTTGCGCTAGGTCTTATTTTCAGGGGATGTCTTATCTTTCCATGCGCTAGGTCTTATTTTCGGAGGATGTCTTATTTTCGGGGAAACACGGTAGATAGATAGTTGTGGATAATTTTTTGGATGTAAAGGCATCCTTAAGATAAAGTTAGGCCCTGGCCGAGTAGCTCAGTTGGAGGGAGGGTTGTCCCATACACCAAAAGGTTGCTAGTTCAGTTGCCATCCTAGGTCAGGATTTGTGCAAGAGGCAACCAATTGATCTCTCTCTCTCTCTCTCTCTCTCTCTCTCTCTCTCTCTCTCTCTCTCTTTCTCTCTCTCTCCCTCCCTCTCTCTCTCTCTTTCTTCCTCTCTTTCTAAATAATACCAATAAAAAAAAATCCTCAAAGATAATGTTAAGTCACTTTCTTTCTCTTTGCCTGGCTTTATTGTATTAAATTATATATGGGCACTTTACTTTGTGAAATTACTGTGTCCTCTCAGAATCGTTTTTGTTTGCTTCCCTTTCTGCTATTCCTGCTTCCTTCCAAACTTTCCTCTAACATAAATTACATCAATCCCATCACAAATTTTTTCCCAAGCTAGGAGGGGATCTTACCAATGACCTCTCCAAGTCCTTCCTTCCCAAGTAACTGACAACTTAGTTCAAAATCCAAAAGAACATCTCCATAACATTTAGAATCATGAGACTATTACCCTGCATCCAAAACCAGCCCACAGCTTTGGGTTACTGCCTTTCAGGCATGCATGTCCCCAACTAGCCCCACCACCAGCTGCTCTTGCTGCTGCATAGTTACAAATGTACCTGGCTTTTCCTGAAAGCCTCTTACTAATAAGGAATCTTAGAAGCCCCTAATTGTATGATGGTGGTTCAGTATATATATATATTTTTTTTTACCAGTGTTACTGTGTTTTAAAATATGTTTAACTGTAGCCATTACCTTTTATAAACCCATTTCTGTGTAGTGGGTTCTCACTGTCCTTAATATGCCTGCACCATTTATTATAGACCTTCTGTATTACATGGTGGCCACCAGCCACATGTGGCTATTGAACATTTAAAAGGTGGCAGGTTCAACTGGGGAACAATTTTAAATTTCCCTTAAAGTAATTTAAATTATATAATTCCTTATATATGTATTTCTATGGAGTTGGTCCTTTTAAATCTAAAAACCGATATTTAATTCAGTTATTGGAAAATTTTAAAGTATCTTTGGAACAGCTTAAGTATGTAACTCTGGTTTTTCAAACATAAATTTTATTAAATATAAATGCAGATCAAATATTCCTGATAAAAATTTAGCACTCAAATTAAAATGTACTGTAACCATAAAGTATGCCCTGGGTTTCAAAAACAGTATAAAAAAGAATGTAAAACTTTTTGTGAACTTTTAAAATATTGATTACATATTAAGATCATGTTTTATGTGTGTTGGGTTAAAAATATACATTTAAAATTAATTTTACCTGTTTCCCTTTTGCTTTTCTTTCTTTTCTTTGAATCAGACCTTTGGAGTATTTATTTGTTTGTTTATTTATATCAACGTTGCTTTTTAATATGGCTACCGGAAACCATAAATGTTACACGTTAGGTTTCTATTGACTGCTGCTCTTTAGAGTACCGTAGTAACAGTGTGACTTTGTTCACCCCAACTCACTTGAAAATTGCAAGAGCTTAGAAATAAATGCATCCTACCTTTTAGCAATGTCATACTAGTGTACTAGTATACATTTTTGTATTTTGCGTCTCTCACCCGTCTTCCATTAAAAGGAGTTTAATTGAAATGTGTTTTTCTGATAAAGTAATCAGTTCTGTCCTGAAATTTGCTTTTTCTTCCCACCTTCAGTTTGCCATCAAAAATAGGTTTCGGCACCGGAGTAAGGACTTCCCCAAAAGGGAGCACTGGCTGGACTGGGCCCGGGAGAAGTATGAAGTAAGTGATCCCATTGCTGCGGTGTCCCACCAGGGACGACCTCTAGGAAGGGAGCACCACAGTTACAATTCATCCTGTTAAGGCCTCCTGGGCGAGATCACCAACTGTGTCCTCGGAACCTTTAACGGCCTGTTAACTAAGACTCTGGGAGTGTGATTGTTTTCTATCGAGAAGAACTTGACTAACAATAGATATGGTGTACCTGGAAACAACATTATCTTGTCATAGATGTGCATTTGGTACCACCTGCCAATTGATATAATAATTGTGCTCAGAGCACGTTAGTTTGAATCTAGAAGAGTGAAAGGGTGATGGTGGTGGTGTTTACATTTAGTGGAATTTACATAAATTTGAGTAATTTACCTCCTGCACAGACATTTTCACTCATATTTTAAATAGCTTAGGAAGTTTTTGTTTTCAAAAGGAATCTGGGGTAGGGTTCTTAGAATTGTTCATCATCTCCCAGCCAGTCTTCAGATGCAGATAAGTCCACACTGAACCTAACATTGCTGGTGACATAACCCTGTCTGACTAGTCCCTCCCCAACTCCAATCACAGGAGCGGCTTATCTCTCAAATTAAGATGGTTACGAAGGTGATGTTCCTGTATATTCCTCTCCCCATGTTCTGGGCCTTGTTCGATCAGCAGGTAAAGTGTAACTATGTTTTCGTACATCTTCATGTAGCAAACGTTCTTTGGGCTCTACCATGTACCAAGCCATAGTATCTAGTTTTCTTGCAGTTTCTCTTTTATTCATTTATTTGATCACTTAATCACATTGAGTTTAACAACAACAAAAAAAAAGCTCTAGGTGGTTCTAGCACCAGCCTAATTCTTCCCAAAAATCAGGACTTTTTAAAAACTCCACGGGACTCGAAACAAATTGTTAAAAATCGGGACTGTCCCGCCAAAAGCGGGACATCTGGTCACCTTATTCTAGCCACATTTCTGTTGCAAAACAAGAGGAAAAATTAGGTGTGTTCAAGTAAAGGTGCATTAGGAGAGACTGGATCAAAGTGTCCAACACTCTTTTGAATCAAAACTGAGAATAAGGAAAAATTGAGAAAAGAAAAACTGAGAAAAAAAATAAAAACACAGAATAAAGAGTTTTCCCATTGATGCATCATGGTGAACAGATGTAGTACCTTTTCTGGGATCTACAGAATATTTTAACTGACAGGAACTTGACATCTTTCCATCTAAATGGGATGCGTGGTTTAGAAGCACCATCCAGGGGTGCACAATGACTCCCCAAAGTCGGTCTGACCAGAGCAGGAACTAGACCCTGGTTGTTGCCTTATCGCCTGCTCTTTCTCCCACGGCTGTTAAGATGCTGGCCTAGGAACGTTTCAACGCAGAGTTAGATAACTGAATGTCTGATGCCTACTAGTCAAAGGAATAAGATATTATTCCTTTGAGAAACTGGAGTTTTTCAAAAGTTCACAGGCATGTGTAATTTTATGGTCCAGGGAGGATTACTGTGTGGGTAAGCCATCGCTTGTAAAAGAGTTGAGCGTACACATTGTTGGTAAGTGTGAAATGGAGAACAGCATTTGAAACACTAGGGAGGCAGTTTTGCACATTGATACAAACCTGTTACTGGATGTGAACTTGCACTAGAAACACACTCACCACCTTTTAGCTGTGTGTCTTGGGGTAATCCCTTAAACCTTCTGAAAGGATAGTAACCCTCCACAAGGCTGTGAGGACGCACATGGAGAACTAGGGCATACACCCCTGTATTAAGAATTAGCCGAAACCGGTTTGGCTCAGTGGATAGAGCGTCGGCTTGCGGACTGAAGGGTCCCGGGTTCGATTCCGATCAAGAGCACGCACCCAGTAGGAGGTGTGCAAGAGGCAGCTGATGGATGTCTCTCTCTTATTGATGTTTCTAACACTCTATCTCTCTCTCTTCCTCTCTGTAAAAAATCAATAAAATATATTAAAAAAAAAAAAAAAAAAGAATTAGAACGATGCCCTGTTCCTCACTTACTATGATGCCCTCCTAGTGGAGTGGATCGGTTACATTGAAACATTTATGTTTTTAGTCCTCTATGGGAATAAGGATACTTGTACAGTCCTGAGTCATCTTTTCCTAGGAAATAGGTTTAACGTAACGAGGCCGCTCAGTCTTAAATTTGTCACTCTCTTCACAGAATCACATTTTAGGACAGCTTGGGCTGTCAAAACGGCTCTTAGCAATAACAATGCTCTGGAAACTGTGGTGCCAGTGAATATGGAATATCCTCAGGCTGTAAAGCTGCTTTCTCCTGGCAGCTTCCCACCAACCTCAGAAATGCATTTAGTCTCTCCACAGGTCAGCTTTATCCCAGAGCAGAGCTGTGGAGGCGCTCTGTCAGGGTCAGGGGTATTATATGTTATGTTAACTTACAGAGCAGAAATGCAAGTTGTTTCTCCTCACCCAGTATTACATGGAGCTGAGAGGTGAACTCGGCATTGAAAAAAGAAATGTTAAATCCCATAACATTTCAGACCCATTCCCGATTTGGGGGGGAAAAAAAAAATCAACATTGACTTGTAAAATGTTTAAAGACCCACGTTCCCAAATGATGCAGTATGCTTCCTTGTTTTTTAAGGGCTCAAGGTGGACACTGCAAGCAACAACAATGAATGGGAAAATGGTAAGTTTAAGACATCCCCTGGTCACTGTTCCTTTGTTTTAGTCCTTTTGCCCCCTTTCTCCTTCGTTTTCATGACATTCCCAACCCCCCAGTTGGTCATCTGTGAGCACTTACCAATGAAACTCCTCCCCCCTCTGTTTTTAGGGACTCCTGGACATTCAGCCAGATCAGATGCAGGTAAGAGAAAATACATAAGCTGCTTTCGGAGATCAAAGTCACCTCTGAGTCAATGGTAACGGTCCGTCTCCACTTCGTCTGCAGACCGTGAATGCCATCTTGATCGTTGTCATGGTCCCGATTGTAGACGCTGTGGTGTACCCTCTGATTGAAAAATGTGGCTTCAACTTCACGTAGGTGACCAGCAGGTTGGGGTTGAGGCTCCCATCAGTCCTAGGACTTTGCAACGGGGCTGCACTCCCTCAGCTTTCAGGCCTCTGTGGGAAAAAAAAAAAAAAGAGCCTGTCTCCTCTCCCTGTCTCTATGAAGGGGCTTTTAAAGAAATACATGTGAGCCCTGGCCACGTGGCTCCGTTGGTTGCAGTGTCATCCCATATGCACCAAAAGATTGTGGGTTCAATACCCAGTTGGGGCACATACGGGAGGCAATCGATCAATGTTCTCTCTCTCTCCTGCTCCCACTTCCTCCCTCTCTAGAATCAATATCCTCAGTTGAGGATTAAAAAAAGAAATACATTTGAATTCGATGTTTGTGTGCTGATGTTTCTGAAGACTTTCCCTTAAAATAAAATGTTATTACCAGCAGCCTGAAATAGCCTCTGATGCAGGCTCTCTCAGAGATGCTGAAGGTTGTTCAGAACAGGCGCCCCCGGGATGTGCCATTTTGGCCCATAGAGTATTTTATATTCTGAGCTAAACCTAATCTAGACCCTGTAGGCTCACACACACACACACACACACAAAAAAAAAAAAAAAAAAAAAAAAAAAAAAAAAACCCTGTCTCTTTCTTGAAGAAATTAAATTGGGGAGCTTGCCTATAATGAGTCATTACCAGAAATAACTTTTTTTTAATTTTAAAATGTTTTATTGGTTTTTTTACAGAGAGGAAGAGGTGGGGGGGGGGCAGAGAGTTAGAAACATCGATGGGAAAGAAACATCAATCAGCTGCCTCCTGCACACCTCCTACTGGGGATGTGCCCACAACCAAGATAACATGCCCTTGACCGGAATCGAACCTGGGACCCTTCAGTCCTCAGGCCGACACTCTATCCACTGAGCCAAACCGGTTTCTGCCAGAAATAACTTTTTATGACTTATCTAGATGGAAGGGTAAACAGATATCTAAGTTACTGAACAACTGCTTTTCTTGTTATCTTACAAACTGCCCTCCTCCCCTCTGAAGCCCCAAGGCATCTTGACTCAGGATGCTGTCTATATCCCATTTTCCCTTTCTGTCTCTGAACCTCTCCTGTATGTGGGATTCCCATCCATACGTATGCAAGTAAATTGGGTTACTTTCGCTTGTTAATCTATCTCATGTCAATTTAGTTATTAGACCAACAGAAGGGTAGAGGAAAATGTCTTCCTCCCCCATAATCTAGATGGTAAAACGTTAACTATCATCCAGAGTATCACCCGAATTATAATTTCTGGAAAGCAAATGTAAAAACACAAATGAGGCTCTCTATTCCATGTAGTGTCCCTAGTCTTGGTCATGAATAACAAATGAAGGGGCTCTTCCAATGTCTTGTGTTTTGGAAAGGAAGTGAGTTTTGTTGGGGGGGGGGGGGGGCGGGAGAGGAGTGCGTCTTTGGGGGGCAGGTCATTAGCTTGTTTGTGTGAGACAGGTTGGGAGTCACTCTCTTGCTTGTCTCATCAGCCCGTTGAAGAAGATGACTGTCGGGATGTTCCTGGCTTCCATGTCTTTCGTGGTGGCTGCCGTGCTGCAGGTGGAAATTGATGTGAGTTGTCCTCTGATTCTCCAGTGGCCGTTCTGGGCTCAGGCATTCAGGTGGGGTGTTCAGAAGTCTTCTTACTCCAGGAGTGAAAGGATTAGGGGAGGTCAGGATCTTTGCTAATAAACTGTCCGGGAACTATGGACCATGCACTCCAGGGGCAAAATAGTCCCTGTCTGGCAGCAGGGACTGCTGGGTGTTATATCTGCAGTCAGGAATAGGGTCAATAGGCACACTTCATAAGGAGAAAAGCTGGACCACATTCACATAAGGAGCTTCCTTTGCAGTTTTTAGAATGGGAGATAAGTTTATGAAACTAGCATTTATATGAACTCCTGAAAAAGCTAGTGAAAAGAAGTTCAGCACTCACAAGCATTTCAAAACTGTGTCAGTCATCTTCTTGATGGGCTTCTGCCCTTTTATATTATAACTTTTCTAATAATGATTAGTTCCCAAGCTAATTCTCATGTCTAGTGGACCCACAGTGGGACTAAACTAATGCTCTTAGTCTAAGCTCAGGTCCTAGGAAACTGGTGTTATACGGTATATAAGATAAGAGGTAGAGAGCTCTCTTTCTTTCTCTCTCCCTCTCTTTCTCTTTCTCTCTCTCCCTCTTTTCCTCCTTCTTTCTCTCTTTTTTAATCTATAGTTTAATTGTGATAAAAATATACATAACAACATTTACCATCTTAGTCATTTCTACGTGCACAGTTAGTTCATCAGTGCTAAATATATTTATATTATTGTGCACACAATCTTTAGAATGCTTTTCATCTTCCCAAACTGAAACCCTACATCCATTCATCAACTCCCCATTCCTCCTCTCCCACCCCTAACCTCTAGTAACCACCATTCTACTTTCTGTCTCTATGACTTTGAATATTCTAAGTACCACATTAGGTGGAATCACACGGTACTTATGTTTTCATGACTGACTTATTTGATGTAATGACCTCAAGATTTATCTATGTGGACCATGTGTCAGAATACCCTTTCTTTTTAAGGCTGAATAATGTTCTGTTTTATGGATATAACACATTTTTTTAATCCATTCATCTGTTGATAAACACTTAGGTTGTTCCACCTCTTGGCTATTATTACTAGTGCTACTATGATCGTGGGTGTATTCTGTTTCTCTTGAACATAGCTAGCTTTGGAAAATTAATCGTAGCACTGAAATAGAAATAGATTGCTTTAGTGACAATAGGGTTTGAGAGAGGACATGTAGGGAAAAGGCAGCAGAAACCCTGAGAAAATGTGTGGAGGCAGGAGGGCATAACACATTTGTGAGAGGCTGTTTAGAGCGCCATGTCCAGGGCTGAGGCCTGGGTGTCCAGAGTTGGAGGGGAAGCATCCCGAGAAAGCAGCTCTCAGGTGCCACAAGATAAGCATTCATGTATGCTATGGTTCCTCTGGCCTCCTCAGTGATTGGGCTTCATGACCTGGCATCCCTTGCAGTGTTTCCCAAACTTTTGACATATGTGTACCCCTTCTATAATTTTCGTAACGCTGAGTACCCGTCGTACTCATGAGAACGTAGAATTAGGCACAGCTAAGCACGGTACAGTGCATATCCCCACCAAACTCCAGTGCAACGCGTACCCCCACCAAACTCTTCCCATACCTCTGGGGGTACATGTATTACACTTTGGGAAACACTGGCCTAGAGGTAGGAGCAAAAAGCCTCTTTCTGATTACTTCCATGTTCGGTACAAACATCGTTTTCCATGGTGCCATGAAGTGAGTGATTAGAGGCCTTGGGGCCTAGTAGGAGGTGTGCCTCAGACAGCACCGCTTCCCGTGCCTGGGGAAGGGTACTCTAACACTCTGGTTAAGATATATTCTGTACAAACTGAAGACCTCACTGCCAACTGTCTTTTATTTTATTCAGAAAACGCTTCCGGTCTTCCCCGAAGGAAATCAAGTCCAAATTAAAGTATTGAATATAGGGAACAATAACATGACTATACAGTTTCCTGAAGCGACTGTGAACGTCGGCCAAATGTCTGTAAGTAGATGGAACAGAAATTTATGTTTCATCATCTGGCCTGAGTCATAATAGGATTTGCAGAATCTGATCTTCTTGGTCCTGGTATAAGTTCCATGATAAGCCCAGAAGGGAAATGTCTTAATATCATGATCTCCTTTTGGTTTCACTCTGGACCAGTGCACATCAAACTTTAATGTGCACAGGAATCACCTGGGGAGCTTGTTAAAACACAGACTCTTGATCAGTAGGTCTGAAACCTTCCATTTCAACAAGCTTCTCAGTGATATTGCTCTGCCGGTGCATGAACCACACTTGAAATAGCAAGATCTGCATCGGTAATTCTCCATCAGGGGCGATATAATGGGAGAGAAGTTTATATAAAAGTTGTTCTTTTATGGACTCCTAAAAGATCTAGTTAAAAGAAATTCAGCACTCACAAAATACTTCAAAAGTGTGTAAATTATCTTTTTTATGGACTTCTTGCCTTTTGTATTCTAACTCTCCTAATAATGGTTAGTTTCCAAGCTAATTCACATGCCTGTTGCCCCCACAATGGAGCCATGCTGACTCCTAATGCCTTTAGTCTAAGATCAGGTCCTAGAAATCAGGTGTTCCATGGTTAAGAGACATTTGACAATTTCTGGAGACATATTTTTTTATTACCGCAACTGGAAGTGTGCTATCTTCCTATGTAGAAGCCAGGATGTCACCACACAGTGCCTCCCGACAACAAAGATTTACCTAGCTCCCAATGTCAATAACGCCAAGGTTAGAAAACCCCAATGTGGACATTCATTGGTCTGGATTAAAGTTCTCAATCTTGAGTCCTTATTTGGTCCCCTGAAGAGCTTTGAAAATTCTATCTGGGTCCCACCTCCCACAGATTTTGATTGAACTTGTCTCATTCCTGTTTAGACACCATTGAGAACCACTATCTTGGATCTTGCCAAATCAATAATCTTGAAGTTAAAAAAAAAAAAAGTTTGACTCCTAATGCTTGGAGCAACGCAGTATTGATTATTTCCAGGGCTGATGCTGTTCTTTGCCCAATGATAGAAATGATTTCTATAGCATTTATCTTCATAAAACAAAATGAAAGTAAAATGCTGGATGAAAAGTGCAATTCCTGTGGTAATACTAAACAACTTCATGACAGAATCTGTAAGGGTAAGCGTGGGGGTGGGGCTAAGACATGTCAGCTCCCCAAAGACACTTTTTGATGTGTGTAAATGTGCACTGGGAATGTCTAATAATATGCCATGACAATGCTCAGTTACACAGTGCAGAGCAAGACTGCAGTGTTAACTATGACTCCTTTTCCCCTGTTCCAGGAAAATGATTTCAGGACCTTTGATTTGGACAAACTAACAAGTATAAGCATTTCTTCGCCTGGATCACCAGTTACTCCAGTAATTCCTGATTTTGAGAAGGGCAAACGCCATACCCTGCTAGTGTGGGAACCCAATCATTACCGAGTGGTAAGTAGCTGAACACCTGCAGCTGACTCTTTCCGTGTGTGCTATTGGAGTCAGGGTCTTCTAATGGTGTGACCTTTACTTCTGTATCATAATATATTAGATAACCCTCAATTTCTTGCTACTTTAATCACACAAGTCATTTGACTTCCAATAAAAGTTTGACTGGTGGATGTGAATGGTTAATATTAAAAAAAAAAATCCTATAAAGAACTTTTGAGTGCCTTAGCCAGGTGGCTTGGATGGTTGGAGCATCATCCCATACACCGGAATGTTGCAGGTTCGATTCCCAATCAGTGCACATACCCAGGTTGTGGGTTTGATCACCTGTCAGGGCATGTATGGGAGGCAACCTTTTTATGTTTCTCTCTCTCTCTCTCTCTCTCTCTCTCTCTCTCTCTCTCTCTCTCTCTCTCTCTCTCTTTCTCTCTCTCTTCCTCCTTCTCTCTCTCTCTCAAATCAATAGAAATATATCCTTGGATGAGGATTTAAAAAAAAAAAAAAAAGGAACCTTTGAGCATGGTGTGTGTGTATGTATGTGTGTATGTGTGTGTATACATATACATATACATAAGCCACACAGAGTATGTGTGTGCATTCTCAGTGACTTTTTGAAATAAAGTTTAAAATATATCTTTAATTGTATTAATTTTAAAACCTGAGTGATTGAGAAATTGGTACAGTTTCTATTTTAAAAAAATATATAGGAATATACTTTTTATAGAAAATGCAATAAAAATACACATCAGGTAAAAGCAATAAAAATATGTATAAAATATATCATGACAAAGTATAGGATCTAGCTATGCTATTTAGCATATGAAGAAGCTGTGAAGGTGTCATTGAACTAAATGAGGGAGCTGTAGATATTCTGCAATGTAAGTGAGCTTCTATAGAACTGCAATATTGAATTAAGACTTCTGAGACGTGTTTAATTAGGGAGTCGTTGAATGGAATGTTTAGAATTCTTGGAGCACAGTGTTCTGCAGAACCACTGGAAAGCAAGCATCAAAGTTTATAGAGATAATGTTAACTTCACGGAAAACTAGGGCTGAAGGATGGAGCCCTGCAAATGTAATCACTATGCCCTTAGCTCCCAGGATAAATGTCAATATCACTCTTCTTCTCAGAGGCTGAAATGGTCATCTAAATGTATTCTAATGGATTATATTTTAACATGTTTTCTTTCTCAGATAAAGGATGGCCTTAACCAGAAGCCAGAAAAAGGAGAAAATGGAGTCAGGTATGTGTATGTGTTTGGGTATTTTTAAAAATATATTATATTGATTTTTTATAGAGAGAAATGGAGAGGGAGAAGGATAGAGAGTTAGAAACATCAATGAGAGAGAAACATTGATTCAGCTGCCTCCTACACACTCCCTATTGGGGTTGTGCCCACAAACAAGGTACATGCCCTTGACCAGAATCAAGCCTGGGACCCTTCAGTCTACAGGCTGACACTCTATCCACTGAGCCAAACTGGTTGGGTCAGGTATGTGTATGTCTTTAAAAATTAAGTTGTATCAGCTTCTTATGGAAGTAATATATATCTATAGTAATGTCCAACTGTAAAAAGGATATAAAATGAGAGTATGGGTTTATCCCAAGAGGGTATGCTGGTTCTATATTTTTAAATAATTAACCAATGTAATTCATTATCTTAAAAACTAGAGAGGAAAATCCATAAAACTATCAATTGATCCAGAAAAAAAAAAAAAGCATTTGATAAAATTCAGTATCCATTTCTGAGAAAAATACTCAGCAAACTAGTAATTGAAAGGAACTTTCTTACTCAGAAAAAGGATATCTTTTAAAAATCCCCAGGCTACCATTATATTTAATGGTCAGAGTCAAAATGATCTGCCCATAAGAACAGAAACAAGGTAAGATCATATATTTTCTTTACTTATATTCAACATCCTTCCAGAGGGTAATGCGATAAGACCAGAAAAATAAGTAAAAATATCTAGATTGAAAAGGAAGAAATAAAACTCGCTACTCACAGATGGCATAATTATTGATATCTGCATAGAACATCCCAAGAACTCTACAAGAAAATCTCATGGGATCAATAAGTGAGTTTAGAAAGAGTCCAAGGTACAAGGCCAACCAGAAAATAAACATATTTCTATAAACTAGCGGTGAACCATTGGACTGAAACTTTAAATAACATTTACAGTAGCTCCAAAGTAAGGTGAAATACTAGTTATAAGTCTAAGGAAACATATATAAGATTTGAGAGTTGAAGCTACAAAAGGCTTAGGAAAGAAATCAGCGAAGAGCTAAAGAAATGGAGAGATATACTGGGTTCATTGATTAGAAGACTTAACATTGTAACGATGATGTCAGTTCTCCCCAAATTGATCTGAGGTTTATTGAAATTCTTATCAAAATCATAGTATTATTTTTCATTTTTTCCAGTTTTATTGAGTTACAACTGACAATGTTGTGTCTATATTTAAAGTATACAATATCACGATTTAATATATGTATACTATGTGAAGTATTTCCACAATTCAGTTAACACATCCATTACCTCACAGTTACCTTTATTGTAATAAGAATGCTTACAAGCTAATCTCTTAGCAAATTTCAAGTATAAAATACAGTATTATTACCTATAGTCTCCATGTCATATATTAAATCCTCAGAACTTATTCATCTTAGAACTAAAAGTTTATATCCTTTACTGAAATTTCCTACTCCCTGCTCCCTGGCAACCACCATTCTACTCTCTATTCTACGAGTTCAGCTTTTTTTTTTTAGATTCCACATATAAATGATATCATACAGTACTTGTCTTTCTCTGACTAATTTATTTCATTTAGCATGTGCCCACCAGGTCCATCCATGCTGTCACAATGGCAGGATTTCCCTCTTTTTATGGCTGATTCATGTTCCATTAGATATAACATATATTATATACATAATAAAAATGTATGAAAATATTGATCAATCAGATCTCATCCTAAACATTTGTTCTATAAATCTCACTGTTAAGAGAATAAAAGAATAATCTACATACTGGCAGAAAATACTTACAAATCACATATCTGGCATAGGATTTGTATTTAGAATATATAAATTACTCTCAAAACTTAATAATAAGAAAGTAAGCAGGTTAAAGAACAGAGCAAAGGATCTTAACAGACTTCTCAGCAGAAAAGATATAATAATGGCAAAGAAACACATGAAAAGATATTCAATATCATTGGCCACTAAGGAAATATAAATTGAAACCACAGTGAGTTCATGACACCTATTGGATGGCTATAACATATTTTTAAACTGGCAATGGATAAAGGCCACCCTAAATAATTTTACCTCTTTAAAGATCCTGTCTTCAAATAGTCACATTATAGGTACAGAAATCATTCATGTAGATAATGTGATTGCATGCTTCCTTAGTTTCTAAAATATTTCCAACTTAAAATTTGGGGAAAAAGCTATGTAGAGGTCTGGCTATAAGTTCCATTTATTTCAATCCTGTCATACTGATAAAAAATACTTTAAGGAGGAAATGAGAGAGAAGCATAGTGGCCTTAAGTAGATTCAAAAAGAAACCTTCATTTAAAAAGTTGTGAAGGTTTTACTAAAAATACTGGAACTAGAAATTCACATGCAAAAGACTGAAGTTAGATGTTTCCAACCTGAAACCACACACAAAAATTATGGATCATAAACATAATATAATGAAAACAATAAAATTTATAGAAAAATAACAGGCATAAATGTTTGTGACCTTGGGTTAGGTAATGGTCTTTTAGGTATGAAACTAAAAGCACAAGCAACAAAATAAAATAATAATAAGTTGGGTTTCATCAAAATTGAAAACTTTTGTGTTACAAGTGATATCATCAGAAAAGTGAAAAGATAATTCACAGAATTAGTGGAGATGTCTGCAAATCATTTTTCTGATGAGATATATTCTGATTATTTAAAAAATTCTTACAAATCAGTAATAATATGGCAGATAACCCAGCTTTTTAAAGGGACAAATATTTGAATTTAAAATTTTCCAAAGAAAATATACAGATGCTGTAAAGTCCATGAAAGGGCTCTCAATCTTATTAGTCATTAGGGAATGACTGTGATTTGACTAATGAAAATCAAAACCACAATGAGATTTCACACTCACTGGGCTCTGACAAATACAGACAATAATAAACTGCTGGTGTCAATGTAAAATGAAGCAGCCACTTTGAGAAACCGTTCTTTAAAAGGTTTAACATGGAGTTACCATATAATCCTAGGTATATGCCCCAAAGAAATGAAAACATATGTCTACCCAAAAGCCTGTAGATGAATGTTCATAGAAGCATTACTCACAATAAACAAAATGTGGAAATAACCAAAATGATAAACTGTGGTCAAAGAAATATTACTTAGTCATAAAAAGGAATGAAGTACTGTTATATGCTACATAACATGAACGCACCTTAAAAACATTATGCTAAGTGAAAGAAGCCAACTGGAAATACCCCACCTAATATGATTCCATTTACATGAAATGGCAGGCAAATCTATAGAGACAGCAGATTAGTGGTCACTAGGGACTGAGCAGGGGCAAAGGGAGTCACTGCTAATGGCCATTGAGTTTCTCTGGAGTGATAAGAATTAGATTATTATGATGGTTGCACAACCCTGTGGACATACTAAAGCCACTGAGTTGTACACTTTAAATTGGCCTGAATTTTGGTGGTACAGAAATTTATTCACAAAGCTGTTTTTGTTTTGTTTTTTTAAATAAGTATCCAGTCTCTCAGCACCTTGGTTATTCTTTAAGGAACCAGTCCCATCTTGTCATTTTCTCAGCTGGTTCCCATTCTCCATAACTCGTTCCATATTCACTTTGTAGCCTTCAATCCTGGCACTCCTAAGAGAGGCCCAAGGTATCTTGAGCCTAGGACTGGCTGTGTCTGATCAAAGCTAGTAGAGTTCAAAAATCAGGGGTCAGGACTCTCCTCACCCTTCAAAACACTCAGAGTGTGTTTGCTGCTTATGCTCAATTATTTTCTATCTTTTACATGTGTTTTCATGTGAAAACACATATGACATGTAGGATGCTGTATTTTTTCTTAATTATGTTCATTCTTATTGGTATTTTATACCAGCCTGAGTCATATGTCAGGCAGGTAATAGTATGCTAGTACTCTAGTCTGAGGGTGGGATTTATTCAGAGCCTTATCCTACATGGTAAAGAGATAATATGCAAATTGACCATCACTCCAACACACAAGATGGCCCTCTCCATGTGGATATAAGATGGCTACCACAAGATGGCCAGCAGGGGAGGGCAACTGTGGGCAATCAGGCCTGCAGGGGAGGGCAATTGGGGAGGGACAAGGCCTGCAGGGGAGGGTAGTTGGGGGTGACAAGGATAGCAGGGGAGGGCAGTTAGGGATGACCAGGCCTTTAGGGGAGGGCAGTTGGGGGTGACCAGGTCTTTAGGGAAGGGTGGGCAGTTAGGAGTGACCAGGTTAGAAGGGGAGGGCAGTTGGGAGTGACCAGGCCTGCAGGAGAGGACAGTTAGGGGAGACCAGGTTGACAGGGGAGGGAAGTTGGGGGCAATCAGGCTGGCAGGGGAGTGGTTTAGGGGATGATCAGGCTAGTAGGCAGAAGTGATTAGGGGCAATCAGGCAGGCAGGCAGTTGGGAGCCAGCAGTCCTAGATTGTGAGAGGGATGTCCAACTGCCTATTTAGGCCAGATCCCAGGAGGGGTCCCAGATTGGAGAGGGTGCAGGCTGGGCTGTGGAACACCACACCATGCACAAATTTTGTGCACTGGGCCTCTAGTAAGTTATAAAGCCCGGACCCGGGCCCAAGGGTCTACTTCCTAACTTATTCTGCCCACTGTATCGCTTTTGAATGGTTCATCTTAATCTTTGATTAAAAAGCAGCTTTGACAATTGGAGCAGTGTTCATTCTACCTATTAGGCTCCTGGTGACACACCGGGTTCCATTTTCTATATTAATCACCTATCAAACTACAGCAAGTGGAATGCCTAAGGATGTCAGGCCTGAGTTTAATTCACATGTTTTCAGCAACTTCTGCTTCTGCTCTTTCACCACATTAGCTCTAAAGCTTCTGAAGCAAGGAACGCAAAGGCATAGCTACCTGCTTAAAGAGGAAGGGATCAGCACCTAGTTCAGCCTGTCCCTAATATCCCAAACATCACTGAAATGGTTGCTAGTTACAACGGACTTAGAACAGTTCCTGGAATTTAACTGTAGTAAGTCAATTGCTTTCGGTGGGTCCTTCTGGGTGAGTGAGCATGGGATTGCTTACCTTCTGCCTTTGCTCTAGACACCTTCAGTTCCCGCTGATAGGGAGCGTAGCCCAGCTTCAGGGGCAAATACTGTGACTGAGAGCAAATCATTCCCTGGTCCAGCCACAAGAAGGATGGTTTTCTGTTTCAGATTTGTAAATGCTTTCGGTGGGAGCTTCAACGCCACAGTGGATGGGACCCTATACGAGAATATTACCAATAACAACGCCAGCAAGTATATGTTTTTCTCTTACGGCACGTAAGTACCAATACTGAATATTTTGTTTTAAAATGTATGGATTCTAAGTCTCATTCTTTAAACAGTACGTTGAAACTTTTAGTAAACAGAATGTAACCTATATTATTCTTTCTTTCCATAGAAAAAACATCATGCTAAGCTCAGCAGAGATTCCAGGACACTGCAATAAGTCTTTTACATCCTTAGACTTTGGATTCGGTAGTGCATATACCTATGTGATCACCAGGGTTAGTAGGCCATTCCATCAAGCCAGAAGTGTTACTTAAACTGTCTTTATCTGAGTCTCAAAGACATTTAGGACATAGGCATGTTTTAACCAGAGTAATATTAGGATCTCTGTTTTTAAATGGGAATTAATCAAGTTTACCACCAAGTTTTTAACTTGCCATTGACTCAAGTTCACTGTTAGAATAACATTGAGCAGACTGAATTACTCTCACCAAAACTTCACTTTAAATTTTTATCTATCATCTATCTATCTATCTATCTATCTATCTATCTATCTATCTATCTATCTTTGACCAGTATTTGATGCTCTCAGTGCACAGAGATGGCAATCTTTGAAACAAAGCTGACTCCCAATCTACTCTCTTATTTAAAAGGAATACACTAGGGGATATATTTTCAAATCCCACCATAGCTATCTCATCATAAGTACAAATTGCAATGCTACATATTTACATTGAAAATATGTACTTACTTGCCCTAGCCTTTTTTGCCCAGTGGTTAGAGCACTGGCCTCAGACAGAAGGGTCTCGGGTTCAATTCCAGTCAAGGGCATGTACCCCTGTTGTAGGTTTGATCCCCGAGCATGTGGGAGGCAACCAATCGATGTGTCTCTCAGATCAATGTTTCTTTCTCTCTGTCTTTCCCCCTCCCTTCCACTCTCTCTAAAATTCAATGGGAGCCAAAGCCGGTTTGGCTCAGTGGTAGAGCGTCGGGCTGTGGACTGAAAGGTCCCAGGTTTGATTCCAGTCAAGGGCACATACATTGGTTGCAGGCACATCCCGGGTAGGGGGTGTGCAAGAGGCAGCTGGTCGATGTTTCTCTCTCATCGACATTTCTAGCTCTCTATCTCTCTCCCTTCCTCTCTGTAAAAAAATCAATAAAATATATTTTAAAAAATAAAATAAAATTCAATGGGAAAAAAATATCTTCAGGTGAGGATTAGTAAGTAAATATAGATAAAAAATAGATGGGATAGAAAGAGAGAGAGATAAAAATTTAAAGAAAAGAAAATGTGTACTTGGTAAATCATTTGACGTAACTCTGGAGGTCAAAACTTAATTTTCCAATTTGAGCAAATTTTACTTAAGCAACTAATCTTGATTTTCATTTCTTTTTCTCACTTTTGCCTTATGGGTTTAGAGAGATGGATGCCCTATACTGAATTCATTTGAAGATATTGCTCCCAACACCGTTAACATGGCCCTGCAAATCCCACAGTATTTCCTCTTAACCTGCGGCGAGGTGGTTTTCTCTGTCACCGGACTGGAGTTCTCATACTCTCAGGTTTCTTGTTCATTTTTTTTACCACCCTTCCTCTACCCTGCTTTCAAAACACTGCTGGGACTTCATTTAAATCTGTGTTAGCTGTATAGTTATAGTTCAGAAGAGCTCTAGAAATCATTATGGGATATCCCACCAAACCAGGTTTTTGAAGTCACCATGCCTTGCCTTTATTGACTGAGAGCATTCTGTTTAGCTTTGTGAATGTGTATATCATCTGTGTCTATATTCCCGCAGTCACACTCAGCGGTTTAAAGACCTAAGTAGGAAAAACTATATAACACGGTCACCAGAGTCATGAGAGTCGGTGGGCTCCTCTTTCTGAGACGAACAAATGGCATCAATGGTTCCTAGCGGTGCTCACTTCCTGGCCTGTGTCCTCATTATCTTATGGTTTAGTCGTGGTCTCTTTGTAACTCCTAGTCAACACACAGATTAGGGCCTAGCTTTTAAACATTAAAAAAAACAACAACATTGCTTAGTGTGTATTACCTTAATGAGGCAATGTTTGTTGATACCTGACTCAGAGCTTAATTTCTGAATGATTTTATCAAAGCTACAGTTATAGTCAGTGTATGCTCATCATATCTACCGTGTTTCCCCGAAAATAAGACAACCTCTGAAAAAAGACCTAGCACATGGAAAGATAAGACATCCCCTGAAAATAAGACCTAGCACAACTTCGGGAGAAAAAAAATAATATAAGACACTGTCTTATTTTCGGGGAAACAGGGTAGTACCTTCAAGTTTTGCAGTAAAACTTGTTAATATGAGCTGGATGATCCCTTTCTGTGGTGACCTCACAGGAGATGATATAACATAGATGACAGAAGTGAGAAGACAGGCTTTGGTGATGTGGCAGAGAAGCTCATGGGAGGGTAAACTCACCGCCCATAGTGCAGCCGCCATGGGGGAAGGCAGGGGAGCGAGGGGGGAGGAGAAGGGGCCAGAAGGTGGCTGTACGGCTTTGCCTGGAAGCCCTTCTGTAGAAATAGGATCCGTTCACCTGCAGCTTTGTCTGTCTAACTAGGATGGCAACTTTGCAAGCACGTGTAGAGTGAAAAACAAGGGTTCCTTGTATGTTCGTGCCACTTGAAGATTTGGGGTATCCTGCTACCCAAGTAGTTATCCCTTTTACATTCAAACCAGCCTGACCCTTAACGTGCATTTTTAGGGTGGCTGCTTACGTAAAGGAATCACTGGCTGTGTTCTCGTGCTGAGGTTGAGATCCAGATTGGCATTCTCTTTGCTCTGCTTCCACAGGCTCCTTCCAACATGAAGTCGGTGCTGCAAGCAGGGTGGCTGCTGACAGTGGCTGTGGGCAACATCATCGTGCTCATCGTGGCAGGAGCAGGCCAGATCAAGGAACAGGTAGGGGTGGGAGAGGAGAGCTACCTTTGTCTCATCTGTCTGTGATCCTCAGGCTGACCCTTCCCAGCCATCTCCATATACACGGTCATCTCAGTGAGTGGCTGAATAAAACTGCCAGACCGGCCAGATGGGGAGGTTACCAAATGGTCTTATGGCCAAGTACGTCGTGATTCTTCTCACTTCCACTGGGTGTTATTGAAAAGCAATAACCAAAATAACCAGATTGAGCTAACATACATACACCCCGATGCCGTTTGCTATCAAAGAAAAGGTCTTTCCTGGCTTCTGTGAATGCAATGTAATGGCCCCAAACGAGGCATGTTATCCAGAAACTGGCATTATTCCTAAAGTTAAGGCATCCTAAAGGTGGTTGTGATTTCTCAGACTAAAATAAAGTAAGGGTAATCAATAAAGAAAATTTTAAAATAAAATAAAGTAAGGGCTTTCTATGACACTAGTAAATTCTTTCCTTCAGCACATCAGCATATCCTAAGGGAGTTGTCCCTTCCTCCCGCCCCATCAGTTTCATTACTCCCCCTACCGGGTCCCCTCAGAGCATGCGCTATTGCTGCATGCTCATAGGCTCAAGGTGTACTGCAAAGGATAACCTGGAGCTCTTCCCTTCAAACAGTTCAGCATATGCTTTTTCTTTCAAGAGTACTGCCTGGTGTTGCTTTGGTCTCCCAGGGCCCAGCTATGTGCCTGATGAGTTGGGTTTTTCAGAAATTTTCCCTCATCTTCCCAAAGTCTTGGGTTTCTACTTTCCCGTGCAATAAGAAACAATGTAATCTTGATACTTGAGCATTCATGGGAGCTGGCCCTTCTGTATCTGTGGCAATCACTGACCATTCTATATCTACGGCAGAAGCCTACCAATGTTCCCTGACAATCTAATCCATCTAGGCGTAGCAGGAAAATATACATGTGCTCTATTCACTACTATAACTGAGATTGTTTTTGTTTTGTTTTGTTTTTTCCTGCTCCAACTCCAATTCCTTCAAAGTGGGCTGAGTACATTCTGTTTGCTTCATTGCTTCTGGCTGTCTGCATCCTCTTTGCCATCATGGCTCGATTCTACACGTACATCAATCCAGCAGAAATTGAAGCTCAGTTTGATGAGGAAGACAAAAAGAAGAAGCCAGAAAACTTATATCCCGAAATAGATCCCGCCTCACCGACGGCGCAGACAAAGATGTGAATGTCAGGAAGCCAGTGGAGGGTGAATTGGGCCCCGAGTACGCTCTGACTTGTGTCTCCAGGTGGCAAGACGCTGAGGGGGAGATACCAGCATCATGAACCAAGCCAAGAAAGCGATTTTCTAAGCAGCCCTTCGTGAACCTGAAACTCTGAAAGAAGCCTTTTTTTTTTTAAAGAGAAATATTATTTAAAGTACGCATGCATGCACATACACATTTTTACAGCACTATGAGCATTCCCTGCATTCAACTTTTTTCCTGTCACACAAATGAAGTTATTTTTCCAACTTAATTGTTGGAAAAAGTGACCAAGTTCCATATGGTTTGAATTCTAACACTATATGAAAACAATGTTAAACGAGTCCAGAGTCAATGTGAAAGTGAATAGATAGGCTTACAGATGGTATGTAATAAGCTAGTATCAACTGATACCTTTTTTGGTTTGGTTTGGTTTTTCCAGTCCCTACCTCTTTTTAAATTATGTGCAACTAAAAAACCACTCAGGGAAAAGTCAATAATGATTTTTAGAGTCTCAATGATATGAAATAAATTCCTGTTCTTAAGAATCAATGTCTGCATGTCTTTGGGTAGAGTAATTCTTAACATGTTTCCTGATTATCAAAGCTGGACACACGTTAAAATTTTATCAGAGGTTGATAAAAGCATGAACAAAAGAAATGCCCACTTTAATACATAAAATGAACATGAAATATGGAGGTTTGTTTCTTCCTGGTTTTATTCTCCCCAGGGATATGAAATTTGTGCCTGGTGCATGAAATTCGTGCACAGGTTTGTGGGGGGAGTCCCTCACCCCGGCCTGCACTCTCTCCAATCTGGGACCCCTCAGGGGATGTCTGACTGCTGGTTTCATAATCAGGGACCACTGGCTCCTAACTGCTCACCTGTCTGCCTGCCTGATTGCTCCTGCCTCCCTGGTCACCCCTAATTGCCCTCCTATGCTGACCTGGTCACCCCTAATTGCTCTGCCCTGCCAGCCTGGTCATCCCTAACCATCTCTGCCTCGGCCCCTGCCACATGGCTTTGTTTGTAAGGACGTCCAAAAGCAGTCCCGTTTAATTAGCATATTACCCTTTTATTTGTAGATATATGTGTGTGTGTATATGTGTGTGTGTGTGTGTGTGTCTGTGTGTATTCCTCTTTTATTACTAAAACCTATGTGCATATTTATGTATTATACCATCTCAGAGTGATTTTCTCAGTACTAAAGCACTTTTCTGCTTAAATAAAAATTCTTCTAACCCATTATAAACACTGAATGCCTAATTCATTCTATAGATACATTTCATTTAAGCATTCCCAGGTTTCAGAAACAAGTCTACATTAGCACTCTTATAAAAACAAGCCACTGTTCTTAGACAAACTTGTACACAGCCCTGAATGCTGGAACTGGTTCCTGGACTGGCAGGAAGGGCACATGCTGGACCTCTGAGGTGTTTCATGCACATGCTTGTCATTGCACTGTGGACACGGAATGAAGCTGGTGGGGAAAGAACTGCGGGGGGGGGGGGGGGACTCAAAATCCAGAGAGAAATGCACATGAGATGACCACACCTCACTGAAGACCTTCTCCACCTGTGGTCATCTCATGTGCATTTCTCTCTGGATTTTGAGTCCCTCCAGTTCTTAGTATCCAGTGTTCATCCTTTCCCTGGGGCCCATGAGGCTCCTTTTTCTCTGGATATAGCTCTCTGCTCTCTGTTCACGCTGATCTAAGCAACAGTGAGTTTCCTCAAGTTCCTGGAATGCATCAGGTTCTCACTTCCAGGTCAAAAGCTAAAGAAAAATCAAATCCTGAGACACTTATTCTCTACCTACTGTTCACTCAACCTCTCTGGCTCGGTCTTCTTCATTTTCAGGATTCAAGCTCCTTCCTCCAACCAAGAGTTTCCCTGCCCCCGCTCCTCTGCATTGGATCGTGTCTCCTTTGAGGTCTCTCCCAGCACACACCCTCACTGTATTGTAACTATCTAGCTTTCCACAGACCGAAGCTTTCTGCATGCACCAAGTTCTGCTTCCATTCTCTAGTACACAGTGGGCCTCTATGTGTTAAATAGATGTGAACCTCGGGCTGGAGGAGTGAGATGGAAGAGATGAAGAACTTAACCTTCAGTAGTGCTTTGAATGAGCCTAATTAATGAGGTCTAGTGTGAAAGACTAGGTACCGGTGTACAGGACGGCTAATGTCGCCTCTCTGATGATTTCTACTCTCTAACTTCTATTGTATGCCTTTGAGGGGGGAAGCTAACAGTGATGAGCATTCAATTTTCATTATTTCCCTTGTCAGTAATCAAAAGATATACTGCTTCTAACTCTTCTTGCAGCCTCAGGGTAACTTTGGGCACCTCTGGACCTCTTAGATCTCATTTTCTTCAATGAAACAGAGAGAACTCTAGATGATCTGAGTTTCAAAAGTCCTTTGAGAGTGTCTGGCACACAATGGGCTTCCAAATATTTGAATGAAGACCCAGACTCTGAGGTTAACACTATAGAGTGCTTTGCATATGGATGGAAATGACACCCACCGCATCATAATAGGCCTTTTTAAAAAATATATTTTATTGATTTTTTACAGAGAGGAAGAGAGAAGGATAGAGAGTTAGAAACATCAATGAGAGAGAATCATTGATTAGCTGCCTCTTGCACACCCCCTACTGGGGATGTGCCCACAACCAAGGTATATGCCCTTGACGGGAATCAAACCTGGGACCTTTCAGTCCACAGGCTGACACTCTATCCACTGAGCCAAACCGGTTTTGACCATCACAATAGGCCTTTAAATGGTGTGATAAAGGCATGGAGGAGAACTGGGGCACTCGGGTCATGAGGGTAGAGTTTTCAGAGTAATCTCTCTGGCTATTATTTTACCACTTCCAAGTATAATTAAGACTGATGGGTGCCAACACCGGTGTTCTAGATGTGAGATATAAGACAATGGCCAATATCATGGGATAGGGGTGGCAGAGGGGATGCTTGAGGCCAGGCCAATAACTTCTGGTCTTCTTTCCTTTTCTTCAGCCCTCATTTTTTTGTGTTTGATGCCTTTCTCTAAGTTCTGGGCTGATCAGTGTATAACAAAAATAGCACATTGAAAGACTGGCTGACGGTTGAAATACAATTCAACATGGGTTGGAGAGAATGGAAATGCTTTCACTGAAAATAGCAGGGCTTCATTGCTTATTCCAAAAAACCAGAACATTGTGAGATGTGTTTAATAATGTTCATATGAGTCGTTTTCATATCAACCTGTTCTTGTTTTGGGTTTTTTTTTTTAAATATATTTTATTGATTTTTTTTTTACAGAGAGGAAGGGAGAGAGATAGAGAGCTAGAAACGTCGATGAGAGAGAAACATCGACCAGCTGCCTCCTGCACACCCCCTACCGGGGATGTGCCCACAACCAATGTACATGCCCTTGACCGGAATCGAACCTTGGACCTGTTAGTCCACAGACCGACGCTCTACCACTGAGCCAAACCGGCTTTGGCCAACCTGTTCTTGTTTTGATTCTACATTTCTCTAGGTAAGTTTTTTAATTTTATTTTGTGGATGTTCTTTAGCTCTTTCTGGGTAATAAAATATTTGTTTTGCAGTCTATCTTAGACTATAAAATGATTTTATTAAGTGTATGTTTTATTTTTGTGGACATTTTAGCCATCAATGTTGTCATGCATTCTGAGATATTGTTTTTTTGTTTTGTTTTGTTTTGTTTGTTTGTTTTGCTTTTGCAGTTTCATTTTGTAATGACAAACAATAGTAGTTAACACTTGGACACTGAATATGTGTAGATGGCATGTTACATACTCTGTTTACCAGCATATAACGCTTGTAACAGCTCTGTAATATAGATCACTATCATTATTATTATCCCCATTCCACAGAGGAGAGAGCAGGCACAGAGAAGGCTGCCAGTCACTACACAAACCTGCCTCTTGATGCCAATGTTTAATTGCCAGTGTGAATTAACCCATTATATCCTTTTACACTAAGGAAGGTCTTATTACCCCTGTTTTAAAGAGATGAAAACTGAGAAATATCTAGCTAAAGCCATATACCTGGTAGTTGGCTGAGACAGAATTTGAACCTGAGCAGAAAGGCCTGTCTCTTAACCACCAGGCCTTTCACACAGTGAAAGGCAAACATGCGATGGTGAGAGTGTTGTAAAGGGGCCAAGAGCAAAACGGATGCTGGAGGCCTCAGAGAGGCGATGGTCCACCTGAAACCCAGGGCTGGCCTAGAAGGACAAGAGGGAGGAGAGGCTGGTGAGGCCTGCTCTCAAAGGATTAAACAGAAAATATTCAACACATTTACCACCTTAGAAGGAGCCAGGGCCCCCTGTAAGGACCTCACAGTGTCCTGACAATGCTGGAGCCACGCCCCCACGGGTCTGAGGTTTGCACACCCCCGCTGCCAGTGGGAGGTCCCAGTGCTGGCTCCTTAAAGGCTGCGGTGATTCGCTCTGAAGCCTGCCATGCAGAGGCCAGTGTCTCACCGTGAGGGGCAGCTGGCTTGAGGGGCAGGAGTGGGTGTGCGGAGGCGTGGCCTTGGCAGTGCAGGAGAAGAAAGGAGGCAGGAAGTCACCACACAGGAGTGCGGAGAAGTGCGGGCCCTATCGTTTTGTTTTTAATTGTGGTGAAATAGACATAACAAAATGGACCATGTAGCCATTTTTTCCAGTGTGCAGTTCGGTGGCATCAAGAGCCTTCATGTTGCTAGGCAACCATAGCCTCCATCCATCTCCAGAACTGTTTTCATCTTGCATACCTGAAACTTCATACCAACACCCCATTCCCTGTGCACACGCACGCCCCTGCCCCCGGCCCTCGGGGCCTCCAGAGAAACAAGAAGCATTTCTCCTTCCAGTTGCTGTCAGAGGGAGCCCTGTGCGTCAGGGGCCCCACCTCCAGCCTGATCAAAGGTAATAAAAGGAGAGAGCCCAGGCCTCTCGGGGCCCTGAGGCATGTCAATAAGGACCCAGATTTAC